GTGTCAAGAAGCGTGTCATATATGCCAGGGCGTGTGTCAAGAAGCGTGTCATATATGCTAGGACGAGTGTGTCAAGAAGCGTGTCATATATGCTAGGACGAGTGTGTCAAGAAGCGTGTCATATATGCTAGGACGAGTGTGTCAAGAAGCGTGTCATATATGCTAGGACGAGTGTGTCAAGAAGCGTGTCATATATGCTAGGACGAGTGTGTCAAGAAGCGTGTCATATATGCCAGGGCGAGAGTCAAGAAGCGTGTCATATATGCTAGGACGAGTGTGTCAAGAAGCGTGTCATATATGCCAGGGCGAGAGTCAAGAAGCGTGTCATATATGCTAGGACGAGTGTGTCAAGAAGCGTGTCATATATGCCAGGGCGAGAGTCAAGAAGCGTGTCATATATGCCCGGGCGAGAGTCAAGATGCGTGTCATATATGCTAGGACGAGTGTGTCAAGAAGCGTGTCATATATGCTAGGACGAGTGTGTCAAGAAGCGTGTCATATATGCTAGGACGAGTGTGTCAAGAAGCGTGTCATATATGCTAGGACGAGTGTGTCAAGAAGCGTGTCATATATGCCCGGGCGAGAGTCAAGATGCGTGTCATATATGCCAGGGCGAGAGTCAAGAAGCGTGTCATATATGCCAGGGCGAGAGTCAAGAAGCGTGTCATATATGCCAGGGCGAGAGTCAAGAAGCGTGTTGAGCTAAACTGGTAAAACAAAATATCTTGGTTTACACAGCATTTCTTCTATTTGCGTCTGAAGAAGAACGCCGAGAAGTTGTATATGTGCGCACAGAGAGTTATGACCTGTGTCGGATACCTGGCTTAGTGCTGGCTACAAAACTAGTCTTTGTCGCTTACTACTCTACGGGCTCACCATAGCCCGTGTTACATGGACACTTCGTCCTGAGTGGCTAAATCTGAAGCAACAATAGCTTACTACAACCGGTTAAACGACAAATTCTTAAGATTTTTTTTTCCCAATTTCGCCCTAAACTGCCTGTTCCACCTAATTCCTGACGGTGATTGGTGGATTGCTTCGTTTCGTGCGGGGGACGTCTCTTTCGTTAGGGTTATTGTCCTTCAAGGGGGATGGGGGGTGGGGGGGTGAAAGGGGGGGGTTTCTGTGGATGAGGAGAAGGTCCTAAATTTTGAGTGCGAGCGGTATTCTGTAGATACCACTTGAGAAGCTGCTGTGGATGTAGTTTGAGTGCCTGTTATAGCTGGAGTTTGGGTGGTTCTCGTAGCACTTCTTAAGGGTGAATTTCCTTCATGAACGTACGGAGGCGGTTCAAATACCCTCAAACAATCGTTTGACAACCAAAATGAAGAATTCCAAAACTCATGGAAAACCCACAACCAAAAATATATAATAATTACGGAAAATACTGCCAATAAAACCTACAACTACAGGCTTGGTGGTCTTTAGTTTAATCCTCCTTAATTACTAGCCACAGCAACTACCCCAACCTACATCTACAGCAGTCCCTCCCCTCTCCCTTACCCCTTAAGGGCTGGGTAGTGAAGCAGGTCCCTGGTGGCCGATTTAAGAACCTCCATTTCACTTTTGTCTGGCACTGTGTGTTTCCACTGTCATAACTTTAATTGATAAAGGCGACTGAACAAAGTGTATTGTGTTGTGTATATTTGTATGGTGTGTGTATGTGTGTGTGTGTGTGTGTGTGTGTGTATTCAGCCTAGTTGTGTATCCCCTAGTTGAGCTTGCAGGGGGTTGAACTCTGCTCTTTCGACCCGCCTCTCAGCTGTCAACCAATCAACTGTTACTAACTACTAACTATTGTTTTTTTCCACACACACACACCCAGGAAGCAGTCCATAACAGCTGTCTAACTCCCAGGTACCTATTTACCGCTAGGTAACAGGGACATCAGGGTTAAAGAAACTCTGCTCATTTGTTTTCCACCATCGCCGGGGATCGAACCCGGACCCAAGGATTACGAGTCCCAAACCCTGTCCACTTAGCCACAGGCCCCTTCTTTTTTTTTTTTTTTTGTGTGTGTGTGTGTGTCTGTGTGCGTGTGTGTGTGTGTCTGTATGTGTACTCACCTAGTTGTACTTATCTAGCGGTGCTTGCAAGGGTTGAGCTGTCAACATCCAATCAACTGGTATGAATCTTGGAGGAGAAGAGGGTTCGTTTACAAACCCAAGCTTCATCCCCTGGCACCCACCTTTCCAACTCTCCAAGAACAACGAATCCTTACCAGTACCCTGCCTTTCCTCCCCTCCCGAGACGCTACACACAACCATTCAGATCATAATATCATTCTTGAGACTAACATTTATTATTCAATTACTTCCTCAATATAATAACACCTAACCACGAAACAGAAACAGGAAAAAAAAACCCACAAAGAATCGCAAAGTATATTAAAAAAAATAATTTGAAGCCCGGCATCACCAGACTTAAGAAGGAAACTACAGCGACAAAACATCCAAATTACCGAAATTAGTGAAATTAAAATAATAACGAGGCTATTTCCGGCCACAGAACCCACGCAACTGGCGGCAGCTTTACCGAGACGCGAAACTCTGCAAATTTAACGATTGGAACTGGTCAGAATCTCGCGATGGAAATTGTAATTGTCCAGCAGTTTTTGTCCGCTGCTGGAATACTAAGAGCCGCTGGGTTCTAAGAGCTGCTGGAACTCTAAGAGTTGCTGTAATGCTGAAAGCTGCTTGAATACTAATATGCAGCTGGAATTACAAGGGCCGCTTGTAACACCAAGAGTCTCTGGATTACAAAGAACTACTTGAATAACAAGAGCTTCTGGAATACCAGGAGTCTCTGGAATACCAAGAGTCTCTGGAATACCAAGAGCCTTTGGAATACCATGACCCTCTGGAATTCCAAGAGTTTCTGGAATACCAAGAGCCTCTGGAATACCAAGAACCTTTGGAATACCATGACCCTCTGGAATTCCAAGAGTTTCTGGAATACCAAGAGCCTCTGGAATACTAAGAGCCTCTGGAATACCAAGAGCCTCTGGAATACCTAGAGCCACTGGAATACCAAAAGCCACTGGAATACCAAGAGTCTTTGGGATACCATGAGTCACTGGAATACTGAGAGCTACTGGAATACTAAGAGACACTGGAGTACCAAGAGCCACTGGAATACCGAGAACCACTGGAATACCAAGAGCCACTGGAATACCGAGAACCACTGGAATACCAAGAGCCACTGGAATACTGGGAGCCACTGGAATTCTGAGAGCTACTGCTTCTGCTGAGTGACTCATTTGTTGTTTGGCTATCGTTGCTGATTATGGGCTTCTGTGGCTCTTGAGTTTGTTTCTGCGGCTCTTGAGTTTGTTTCTGCGGCTCTTGAGTTTGTTTCTGCGGCTCTTGAGTTTGTTTTTGCGGCTCTTGAGTTTGTTTTGTTTGTTTTGCTTCTACTTTTGGTTTGTTGTGCTTCTTCTGTTGACGCTGTTGTGCTAATTCTGTTGACGCTGTTGTGCTTCTTCTGTTGACGCTGTTGTGCTTCTTCTGTTGACGCTGTTGTGCTTCTTCTGTTGACGCTGTTGTGCTTCTTCTGTTGACGCTGTTGTGCTTCTTCTGTTGACGCTGTTGTGCTTCTTCTGTTGACGCTGTTGTGCTTCTTCTGTTGACGCTGTTGTGCTTCTTCTGTTGACGCTGTTGTGCTTCTTCTGTTGACGCTGTTGTGCTTCTTCTGTTGACGCTGTTGTGCTTCTTCTGTTGACGCTGTTGTGCTTCTTCTGTTGACGCTGTTGTGCTTCTTCTGTTGACGCTGTGTGCTTCTTCTGTTGACGCTGTTGTGCTTCTTCTGTTGACGCTGTTGTGCTTCTTCTGTTGACGCTGTTGTGCTTCTTCTGTTGACGCTGTTGTGCTTCTGTTGCGACCTTGGCTGTTGTTGCTTCCTTCGTTACGTGAGGGGATTTAGGCCGTATGCAACGTAGTGAAGCTAGTTTAGTTTTTTTTAACGCCATCTTTAACCCAGAACACGGTCCGCTAATAGTTTTACAACCAGGTCCTTTATCGTCCTAATCTTTTAATGGATTCTCGCTACTAGCAGCTGTCCTAGAGATTAACTAGCAATTACCGGGTGATGATCTACTAGGAATTACCCTGTTTGAATCTATGCTTCACGTACCTACCTACCTACCAATACATCAGATACATACCATACGAATACATCAGATACCAACCATATGAATACAACAGGTATCTACCTTACCAATCAGATCAATACAGATTGTAAAACTTCGTTTTCTGTTCTACCGGGAACATTCAGTGGCTGAATCGCTACCAAATTATACAAATTTTTTGGAAATTTCTGCGAAAAAAATCATATATACATCGACCGATATGGCTCGAAATTCTGCATAATTCTATTCCTTAAAGTGTCGTGTCTGTCGTTCTTTTGAATAATGTATGTGTGGGTGTCCGTGGTGCAGTGGACTGCGTTATCGAATATGTTGGTGATGTATTTTGAAGTATTTTCTTCGGTGCTGTATTTACTGTATGTTGGCAGTGTGTGGATGTATGTATATGTGTGTGTGTGTTTGAGTGCGAGATTGTATAGATGTATGTATATGCATGTATGCATGTTGCGATTATTACATGATCCGATTTATGAATGTATTTGTGTGTTTATGTATGTGTGTATATTTGTATGTTTATACGTGAATTATACGCCAACAATAAAATCTATTCACTATGTACCATTGACCTGGGCTCTTGGAGACTCGAACTGTGAACCCCAAATGTGCAAGGCCGAAGCTCTATCGACTATGTACTAGTCGATAAAGCTTCTATGTACTTTTCTATACACTATGTACTAGAGGAATTGCATTCAGTATGCTACAGCAACTAAAGTAAGAGGGGAACTGAGGGTCCGTTCTGCAGTATATCTGCGGGACTGTCGTCTGCTGGTCTTCGTCGGGTCTTCGTCGGGTCTTCGTCGGGTCTTCGTGGCCAAAAACCTCGACCAAAAAATATCGGAAGATCTGAGTTCGTTCCTCAGATGGCGTATTTCACCGTCGGTGTCGTCTGCTGACCGCTGGCTCTTGGTCTGATGGTCTGCTGACCGCTGGCTCTTGGTCTGATGGTCTGCTGACCGCTGGCTCTTGGTCTGGAGGTCTGCTGACCGCTGGCTCTTGGTCTGATGGTCTTCTGACCGCTGGCTCTTGGTCTGATGGTCTGCTCACCGCTGGCTCTTGGTCTGATGGTCTTCTGACCGCTGGCTCTTGGTCTGATGGTCTGCTGACCGCTGGCTCTTGGTCTGATGGTCTGCTGACCGCTGGCTCTTGGTCTGATGGTCTGCTGACCGCTGGCTCTTGGTCTGATGGTCTTCTGACCGCTGGCTCTTGGTCTGATGGTCTGCTGACCGCTGGCTCTTGGTCTGATGGTCTGCTCACCGCTGGCTCTTGGTCTAATGGTCTGCTCACCGCTGGCTCTTGGTCTGATGGTCTGCTGACCGCTGGCTCTTGGTCTGGAGGTCTTCTGACCGCTGGCTCTTGGTCTGATGGTCTGCTGACCGCTGGCTCTTGGTCTGATGGTCTGCTCACCTCTGGCTCTTGGTCTGATGGTCTGCTCACCGCTGGCTCTTGGTCTGATGGTCTGCTGACCGCTGGCTCTTGGTCTGATGGTCTGCTCACCGCTGGCTCTTGGTCTAATGGTCTGCTCACCGCTGGCTCTTGGTCTGATGGTCTTCTGACCGCTGGCTCTTGGTCTGATGGTCTGCTGACCGCTGGCTCTTGGTCTGATGGTCTGCTGACCACTGGCTCTTGGTCCGGCGCAGGACTCTCAAGCCAAAACACAGGAGGATTACACTGAGTACCTTGTGTCTCGATTAAATACTCCATTTCAACTTCACTAATATCTATAATCTACTCTTTTTTTTTTTTATTAAGTTATGAGGTACATCTGCATTAGTGCAGCTACCCTAGACTATATGAAGTGGAGTACAGTGTGTCAAAAAAAGCTAACTAGGTGATGCTATAAAATCCCCATCACACAGGATGGTTAGTCATACAGAGACATATGATAGGCGGTCTGCACTGGCAGACTCCGGATGCATTTTGAGGATATCAACAACACAAGATTGAATAAGGTAGCAGTGGTAATACAAGTCCCCATCTCGCAGGATGGTTAGTCATACAGGGCCATGTGTTTAATAGCCTGCACTGGCAAATTTTGGGTATACTGTGAGGATATCTTCAAGAATATAATCTACTCTGCGTTTATCTACTACTCTCCACTCTACGGAAATCTACTCTCTTTTTTCCACTTTATGTTAACCTACTCATTCTCCAGCCTGCGTAAATCTACTCATTCTTGGCTGCGGGTACATAAGAATACAAGAACATAAGAATTAAGGATGCTACAGATCCTTACCAGTGCAAGGCAGCTCCTATTTATATAACCCTCAATCTCATTCATATGTGTCTAACCTGCGCTTGAAACAATCCATTGACACCTCCCCCAATCATCCTCCTGTTTAGATAGCACCTATTGAGACTATGTGAACCATTATATATATATATATATATAGACGTAAATATACAAATAGAGATAAAAAACTGAAATATTCCTAGGCCTATACAATACACAGAGACAATGGTACAACTACTAACTTTAGATGGCTTTAGTAAGCCAGTATTTGGCTTATTTAACAATGAACAAAGTGAATTTTTCCTTCGGTAAAATAAAATCAGTATCTTCACAGATATTACAATTATAGATAATTGTGGATTTATACATAGGCTTATGTAAAATTATAGATACTAGTGGAGTTATACATAGGCTTATGTAAAAATTATAGATAATAGTGAATGTATTTATAGGCCTGTGAAAACTTAGGCATTTTATTTCCTAGCTTCGTATGGTAAGTTGTTGCAACAAGCAACCGAACACGTCTTGCAGTGACATACACAAAATCATACATTTTCCTATACTTGTCCATTTGAGTATCACTTTCAATAAATGAAAGATGAAATTAAAGAAAAATATTCCACGAATTATTTGGCAAAATATTCTCCAAAATATTCCACACAATTTTCCACAAAATCGGAGCGTTACAAACGCCGGCAAATGCAGTTTGTTTTGTTTGTGGCGACTTATGGCTTGTTTGCACTAGTGTTTGGAAGTGAATGGAACACGTTCATTGGTGGAGATTCGAACGTGTACACGATGCTGACTGTCATCGACACGGGCTGTGTGGGTATTGTACAAACACACACACACACACACACACACACACACACACACACACACACACACACACACACACACACACACACACACACACACACACACACATACACACATACATACACACACACACACACACACACACACACACACACACACACACACACACACACACATACACACATACATACACACACACACACACACACACACACACACACACACACACACACACACACACACACACACACACACACACACACACACACACACACATTGCGTGAGAGTTCCGGGATTTTCGTTTTCATTTATACTACAGGTTACAGGTGTAATTTACAGCCCAGACCTCAGATGTGACTTTAAACCCAGGCTGTCATATATGACGTTGAAACCAGGCTTTTACATATGACTTTAAACCCAGGCTTCTATACATGACTTTGAACCAAGGCACCCCAGGTCTGACTTTAAACCCAGGCCTCCAGATGTGACTTTGAGCCCAACCCTGAGGTTTTAGATCCAACCCAGGCTGGCAGAATGTATTATACAAAAAATACAACAATTTTGAACCCCAGGGTCAAGTCCCACTAGAGTTGTAGTCCAACTGTCGCGAGGAGAATCTTGCTTATACAGCGATTATTGTCGTAAATGAAATAGATTAAATTCGATTCTGGTTGTAAAATAGGATTTTGTGATATGGGAGTGTGAGTGTAATATCTCTCACTCTCTCTCTCTCTCTCTCTCTCTCTCTCTCTCTCTCTCTCTCTCTCTCTCTCTCTCTCTCTCTCTCTCTCTCTCTCTCTCTCTCTCTCTCTCTCTCTCAAACAGGTGAGGGACTGAGGAGTGTATGAGATGGAATATTGGTGACTGCGCCGCAGGCAAAACTCAAAAATTCAGATCAATTGCTTTCCATCGGATGCAAAAATATGATAAAAATACTAAAAAAACAGCATTCATTATGCAAAAAAGGAAGGTGTGTATAATGATAATTATACCAATAATAATAATAATGATACTACTAATAATAATACTTTAATAATTATAATATTATTAGTAACCACAAACCCTGTTTTAAAATTTGAGTTGATATAACCCATATGGGACAAATGCGGTCAAAAATGTTCGTTGATATAGTCTTTGGTCTAGCCACTTGATCTCCTATCATCCCAAATGATGGGTTTAAATATTAGTATAATTGTTGATACAATCCACATGAGGTAAAAAAATACTGAGTTTAAATATACCAATATACTCGTTGGTATAACCCACACATAAATAAACCCCAAACGCTGCTCTCAAACACATCTCCTCCAGTGGGAATAGATTTATTAATTAAACACTCCATAAAATGCTTCAATACGACCGAAAGTCGTATATATATCTATACGACTTCCAGTCGTATTGAAGTGCGTATTTTACGGAGTATTCAATTAATAAATTGGATTTTTTGATAATCAACTTCTCACACTGCAACCCGTCCTCTGGTTTAGATAGTACCTATTGTGTCGATCGTTAATAGTCATAATACGTATATTCTTAGCTTTTACATAGTAGTATACGAAGCTTGAAGTTTGCGTTCTTGGCTAGATAGTGACCACGGAACGTAGATATCCGCCGGAATAATTGTGTCTCTCTCTCTCTCGCTCTCTCTATCTCTCTCTCTCTCTCTCTCTCTCTCTCTCTCTCTCTCTCTCTCTCTCTCTCTCTCTCTCTCTCTCTATATATATATATATATATATATATATATATATATATATATAATATATATATATAAAAAAAAAATATATATAATATATATAAATATATAAAATATATAAAAAAAAAAAAAAAAAAAAAAAAAAAAAAAAAAAAAAATAAAAAAATAATAGGGGTGGTAGGAGAGGAAAAGATTAAAGTATTCAGTGAGAATCCGCAAGGTCTTCTCTGAACACTATTTATTTTCTTCTTCGAGGATGTGGGTCCCTTTAATTAAACCAGTGGTGGTACCCCTATATATATATATGATATATATAATATATATTATATATATCTCAGGAACCATTCATTGAGTGATTCACTTGAGTGATAGTTGTTTCCATGATTACTATGAAGTTTGAGTTACTACAAAGTTACAACCAAAAACTTTATATAAGTTATTCATTACTTAATATTAGGTATAGGTCTATACAAGTTATACTCTAGTTTAATTCTAGTTAAAGTCTAAATTAGTTAATACTAAATACAAACCTATGTAACTAGTTACTATTTACTTGTGTATGACTAGCTATATAACTAGTTACAACTAGTTATAGTATATAAGTTATAACATAGTTACTATAAGATATCAGTGCAAGTATTAAACAATCACAAGTCACTTCAAATTTTGTTGTGTCACAGAAAATTGGTTTCGT